TTTGGAACATGACCTGTCTCACATAAGCGAAGTGAAGAAAGTACGCTGGCTATCCAGTAAGGAGCGAGCAGTAAAAGCTATCAAGAACAATTATGAGGCTGTTGTGACTCACCTGGAACATGCTAGTACAGATAAAAATTCCAGTACTGATAATTCAAGCCGTGCAAAGGGCTACCACAGAACTATCACTGCAATCAAGTTTGTAAGACTGCTCCATTTCCTGCTTGATTACTTACCTATATTAGCAAATCTATCCAAGTTATTCCAAGATGAGAAACTTTTAATAATGGAAATACCAGACAGACTAGAAGAGACTTACCTGGCATTGAATGCATTACAAGCATATCATGGCAAGAATATGAATGAGTTCAATGACAATTTCAATGATGAAACACTGATAACATTAAACTTCACAAGTCACAGGGAAGACAACCGAGTAGTGCATTTGATGCAACATAAATAGACGAAGTTATTGACAGCACAAGTACATTAAAAAACGGTCTGAAATATTGAGGGAAAAGCCAATTTCACTTTTCATGATATTTAACTTTCAGAAGTGGCCAATTGATAACCATCTTCTAGCTGCATATGGTAACGATGAGCTTTCACAACTACTTATGGATTACTTACACACATATTTTTCAGAAGGTGGCCTGCACTGAAAGTACATTGCCGACAATGGCGTACAGCAAAACTTGTAAATATATATAGCATGATGTTGCAAACAAAGCCAACTCATCTGACTGATATGCTGAAACTTGTAGAATTTGTAATGGCTGTGTCACCCAGGACATCATTAAAACTCAGCTAAGAACTTCACTGACACAGGAGACTCTACGCAATCAGTTAATGATAATGCTTGAAGGGCATGCACTGAAGGACTTTAATCCCGATAGTAGCATAACCCGATGGCTAGAGAGCAGTATTCGCAAGAGACACATTTGTGGACATAAATTAAAAAATAAAGTAAATACAGATGATCAAATTGATAACATATTATTGGACAGTTCTGCAAACTTAGATTCATAAGTAAATACCAATTGCACATTAAAAAATACAATACTGTATGTACACTGTGTCATAATAATAAAAATTCATGACAATAATATTGAGGGCTCGTAATTTCTTAGTCAGGGCTAGTTGATTATCTTAGTGAGTCGTCCAGGGCTAGTGGGTTTTCATCAAAAATTTCAAGCCCTGCATGATTGCACATGAAGCGAAGTGAAGAGGAGAAACTAATTAAACTTGTTTTCACACATGGATATTTATAGTATTCATTATGATACATTTACAAATTATTGTTCTAGATTAATTGAATTAGGTAATCTCATTAAGTAGAAGCCTATCCATAATTTCTGAGTTCAATTGTTCATTAATTAGGTAATCTCATTAAGTAGAAGCCTATCCATAATTTCTGAGTTCAATGGTTCATTACGCATACTATTAATTTTTATTTAATGTATTTTTCGTTTCAGGCGACATGTCCAGACATTGTCACAGCTGTCTCTCCTGCATTGTTTGTATTAGGTGCTAATTGCAAGCGCATGTGTGCACCCCAGTCTTCCAAACCTAATACTGCCGACACACTGTACTTGGATTTAAACTGCTGAGTGAGCAGTTGGTTTCAGGAATTGATCCCAGAACCTCCCTGGTGCGAACACGCTAATCACTGCCCAGGTTCACATACTATTAATATTATTGAACCCTACCTATCATTTGATCTGCCAATGTTCTATCTTCACCGTCGTCATTACTTGACAAGCCAGCTGACACTGCATGGAAATGTTTCTGTGCTGCACTCACAGCGTCAGCATCCGCTTTACTCTTCTCTTGTAGTTTGGAAAAGTTACTATCAAACTTCTCTATTTCTTTCTCTTTGCTCTTCAATGTAGCTTGGTCCTACAAATCAGTGTATTTCAAAATATGTTAACAACATACCTGTCTTTTCATGGCAAGCAATCACTCATGATTCTCTTGCGCAATATTTCACCATAAGAGCCAAACAAAAAATTGCTTTGAAATAAAAAAAATTTACATACAAATTTACATCCATGAAAAAATTGAAGAGACCCAGAAAATAGCAAAAATCTCAAATAATTGAATGATTGCGAAAAAACAAACGACTTGTTTTCCGTTAATGTGTTCTCTAAGCACAGGTTAGGATTCTATAACAAGTGACTTGTAATTTCACATTATTTATCAAATTTGTATTCAAAGTCCACAGTCAAACAGATCAGACTATTATGAAAATCAGGTGTTTGAATGCATGTAGTAACCACCATGAATGTGTGGGTGGAGGTGACAGCAAACTGTTGCAAATATAGAAGGGGGCTATTGTTGTTATGTTAGAACAGCTAATTACCCAATTCAAATTCACACATGATCAGAAGATGAAGATAACAGTGTTCTGTAAATATTATATTATCAGTATCATCAGGTCTTTGTCTTGATTGACCTCTATTTCGTGTAAAATTTGTTTGTACACCTAAATGGCTGCCAATACAACTGTGTTGACAAGCAATGATGGCCAGTACATCCTTATCAGATTTGGAGGCAACACAGTTGTATTGTCAACAATTAGGTGAAAATATTTGTGGTTACAAGTAGATGTATGGAAACAATTCACGGCTACAGTTAACACTGAATTTAAACCACATCTGCACGATGACTGTGGTGCAATAAAATCATAAAATATATCAAGGAAAGTTTACCTCTTTCATATTCTTCTCCAAATCTTTCTTTTTTTTCTTCTCAGCCTTCAAGGATTCCTTTTTATTGTCAACAGCAGCTTGTGCCAAGGCGTCTTTTTTCTGTATTTCAGTCAGATTCTCTTCCAATGCTTTCATGACTCCACCAGACTCGGCATCTCGTTTCTTCTCTAAGTTTTTGATATCCTCAGTGATTTCTGCTATTTTGTTGTCAATCTGAGAGACACAAGTTGTTATCAGTGGACCAGCGATTTTTTTAAACAAGGGAACAGGGGCGCAACGGCCTCATGCCATGGCCATGCGCCCCCCATAAAATTCTGATTGACCAGTGATCACATGTGGCCACAGTCTTCAAGTGTGACCTGTCTGATAGTAATTTTGGCCCCAAGGAAGCCATAGAATGCTACATTTTAACTTAAAATTATCAAAAACTCAGGCGGAGGGTTTCTTTCGCCGTCATTGGCTGAATCGCAGATTAATGCCTAAAGTTCAAAATAGTCATTTTGACTGACCGGAGTCTATGGTGGGTAATTGAACGTAGTGAATTGCAGTGTTCCATCTTGCAGTTTTTTTTCTAGTGAACAATACATGCATATGAAAAGGATTTATAGTGGCATACATTTTTTTTCCCAGACAGGGAACGAGTGAAGTTAGAATCATAAAATTTCGCTTTATTTCCTATATTTTACATTCAACTCATCAAAAATCAGTGAAAATAAACTTCACACAAAACAGCCTAAATGTCTTTCCAGCGAAAATTAATTAATTAATTAATGCTATTAGGATAAAGTATTTGACAGTAACTACAGCATTGTACCTCTGTAAGAGTCTCTCTGAGTTTAACCATAGATTCTCCCATTTCTTGTGTCTCTTCTGCGGATCTTTTACTTGTCTCCTCAGCACTGATAAACTGATAGGCAACATACAACTTACTCAGATGATCCAATTCTCGTTGTACTTTTTGAAATTCCAGATAGGATGACCTCTCAGATTTCAACTTCTTCAGTGTTGGTGTGATATCCTCTGCTAGTATCTGCAAAGAAAGCCATTTTCATATGTCAACCATGTTTATTTACAGTTGTGTAGGTGACACTGATGTATATGACTATGATCATGAACAATTAGACGGTACATGTAGATAGCTTTAATTTTGCCAGTATGCGATGTTTCCTTCTAGTGGTACCAACTAATGTAAGAATTATATACTGCAGAAACTAAAATAATATTACAAAAGTCACACAATTATAGCTCAATGTATGAATACATGTACGTTGCATGCAATAAGTATCATCAAATGTATTTTCTTTTCATTGCCCCTTGCTAACCAAAGTCTTGGGGAAAAAACACTTTACATCATACCACTACCCTTTTTGAAAAGTTAAAAATGTATGGTAGTCTAAGAGCTTTTTGACAATGAGTGACATAGTGCTGTTATTTTATTTTCTGCATTAGGCAAAATAAAATGCTAATTACAACTATCGCTGGTCCAGAGATAAATTATTATTATTTTTTTGTTTGTTATTGGCTTGATAAAAAAAAATATATATATATATATATATCCAATTACTGTACTGTAATTACTGTTGTGCAAAATTAACTCACACTATCAATTTCTTTGAGTTTGAGGTCTTTTTTCTGTATTGTTCTTTCTGCAGATGCTTTCTTTTGTTCATACATACTTGTTCCAGCTGCCTCTTCTATCATGGCTAAAATCTGACAGGAAAAAAAGACAATCATTCATTGCAGAGTTATGTTAAATCACAACAATGATAGAGAAAAAATATATATCTGAGGCACAGGAAATCATTTGTCCAGTTTGCAGGGCTAAGGCCCAACTCAATACTTTTATTAAATGCCTCTCAGAAATTAATATCCATAAAGTTTAACCTCCAAAAAACAACAACAATGGGTGATTAACAAAATCAAACTTGGGTGATGGTAGCTATCATGAATAAATGTTAACTGCATAGCAATAGTCTGTGCAAATAGCAATAGTCACAATATAAGACTCACTAGACAACAAAATACCCTCCATACCATGTATTGCTTTTATGTAAAAGTCAAGGCAAGTAATAACATTTACAAGTAATGAATTGAATTTTAATTCATCGATTCTGCATGCCATTTACTGTAACCTGGATACTGTCTTCAAATTTTACAAGATGTACATGTAATGTACCGTATGCCGAATTGGCAAGTCTTCTTACCTCTGGAGGCTTCATGTTCAGTACTTTTGTGATACGGCCCTATATAGAAAATAATTAACATATTGCATTAAACGGTAAATGTATGTATAAATCTGGGGTCCCTTGCCTTACGTTAGGAGTTTTTAGAAATTATAAAATTGCCTAAAAACACTAGGAGCATTATAACTAGTGCACATCAAATGAACTCAACTGCTAGAAGATTGGATAGAGGTAAACAGATATAAACTGTTACAAATCATCACGACTTGTGGGCTTGCTTTCCTATAGCACTAATACAATGTACATTCAAGTTTGTGTGAGTTTTCACTTTGAATGTTTAGGTTACATGTAAACTGCAGGGCTTCAACTTTCAAGGCAACTTTTTGCAGGGCACCAAGGCAAACTCTTTCGGCATTGAGACAATTGCCTTTGATGTCCCCGTGAAGTTCAAGCTCCAAAACTGTATTTATCAATACATTATTTTCTTGGTGCTATACATTTGTAAAATACACATCACAGCTTAGGAATACTGATAAACCTCCCACATGTACATTGCACATGTACAAGACATGTACACTCTTTAATGAGTGGAAATCTTCAAATATTGTAGCTGTGAATATTTCTCTGCTGTCCTACGACACGTGACAGTGTCAGTGATGTTTGCAAAATTTTGTTTAAATCTGGGTTTGTTAAGGAGGGGGGCAGCACAAAGTACACACAGAGACGGTGTTTGGGTACAGTAGGTGGTATTTATTACTAATCTAAAAACTCACATTACTACTACTGATGAGATCAGTGGTCTGCCCCTTTAACAACTAGCGTTGGAAATGTCAAAGGTGACAGTTCAAAGGTGATATATAAATCACTTGTAAGGCTGATCCAGGGGAGACCACTGGTAACTGTTGTATGTACTACAAACCGAAAACACTACGAATGAAATTCCCCCTAAAGGGAAAAAAAAAAAAAAAAGGAAAAAACAATCTCATAACTGGCAAGAAAACAAAAAAAACGAAAGTACTGTAAAACCAGAATTCAGCAGACTTGTAAATGATAAAAGACAATAGGAATTAATGTTACATAGTTGATAATATAAAGACTGTAAACATTGCAACAGAAATATCTCAAAGCTGTACATAATTAGGAAATGCAAAAAAAAAAAACAAACAAAAACAAATCACAAATGTTATACAATGTCAAGGCATATTAGAGTAAATATTAAATGCTGTAAATAGCAGTAACAAGAATCCCTTACAAGCCAGGGTGGGAAAAGGGTGGGTAAGCAGAGAAGGCACTGTAAACTTGGCGGCTGCAGCGATCGCAATGATATTAGTTTGAAAATGCCACGACTTGTGAGTTAGTTTATTTACTTAAGTTAATCCTCGATTAAAGGTCACAAAGTGGGTCTCTGATTCGTTGATCAATATCGTATTTGCATGTGACCCATGACCTGCAGGCATTAGGCCAAACCCTAATTTAAAACTGGTTATATCATAACCAAGCCCTTAATGAATGCCATAATATCAAAAAATTCCTTGCAGCGACAATTAAGTGGTATACGGTACATGATCAATATACAACACACGACTACGAACACAGATCAAACCCTGGCGAACCACCATATAATACCTACATATCGTAAAATCTGTAATAGAAGCCGCATCCCTAATAGAAGTCTCACCCATTCTTTTTGAGCAATTGAGTATCAAACATTCACAATTTCTCATATGTGTAGATGCTCTAATTGAAACCGCATCCCTTCTGTTGCATTGTACCATTTTAATAGAAGCCGCAAGTTCTAATACAGATTTTACAGTACATGTTATACCTAACATCATTAACCTTTTCCCTTTTTTAATCACAAATTAGTCCTGTTTATAGTCTGCACTTTCCTTCAGAAGATTGAGTAAAAGCTGAAAATTGACTCAAATTTTGTCTGTTGGCTCCAAAATTAGGGTTGATTTTCAGAAATATTGAACAATATAAGAACTAAGTGAAGAAAAATTTGGGCAAAAAAGACTAATGGTTAAAAGATTGATGAATGGTATTTAATAAGACACTTACCTGCATGATTAGAAAATGCGGATTGTTAATATTCAATTGTACAGATCTGAATAAATCTTGTACTCTGGTATTCTGGGCATTACTTCCATTTATTAGGTATTTATTACGTCCTCCAATTACCACCTATAAATAACGAGATTGTTGACATCATATATGAACAATAAACAGCTCACTAAACAGCAAACATCACTCACACTGGAACATGGACATCTTCCAATTCACACCACATCAACTTGTCCTCCGAACACAAGTTTGTTTCATATCAAGAATTTGTAGTCATTTTAAAAGTTCCACATTGGTCATCCTCTAAGAGTCATTTTTATAAAATTTATACATGTGACATTAATTTAAGTTGTGCACTGCATCTACTGTAAAACTAAATCAGGCATGCACTGTACGTACCTGCCTTGAAACAGTAATTTCATCATATCCTTCATAACCTACTGGGCTTTGTTTTTTATCTGCATTATCAAATGTGATTGTTACAGTAGCTTTAGTGACGCCAGCTTGTCCACTTTTATATACCAACTCTTGTAGATTACTTGCTCTAACCTGAAATGAAATACATACATGACATTTTCAGGAATTGGATCAATGTAAATTGGGTAATAATTCTTTGGTACAGTAAGGACTTAGAACCAAGCAAACAAGTGTGAGCACTAATAAATATATTTCACATTGCTCAATTTATGTAAGGTATGAATATAAAAACAGTGTCATTATTTTGTAAATTTCTAGTAGACTAGTTGGGTTACCAAATTTAGAAAATGGTAGACCTAGAACCAGCGTGCCCTTTTATGAGGATAAATTTGCAGGAGTCAAAATGGGATCGCCAAAAATCAAGTTGAGTTAGCTTGTTGACTGCTGGGAAGGTCTTTCTTCAAGAGAAGATAAATTTGTACATGCACACGAATTTATAGACAAGTGCCTATGGGCTGGTGTGTCATACAACATACACAGTTTAATTGTTTTGTTTTTGTTTGTGGGGTGCACTGATCACACTCTTCTAGCCACCATATCTAGGATTTCAATTGGTCGTTTAAAAGGTATCAGGTCGTTTGGACCCCTCGCCCTTTCGACCCCTGGACGATTAGACCCCTCGACGTTTCGTTTAAAATGTGATAAATATCAAAACTGGAAGACCCCCCCCCCCCCCGCCTCCAGTAAATTTGATCCACCCTTGAGATAGATAAAAACTCTCTACTTCGGTCTACAGGATCGCTCGCGTAATGAATCTGTTTCATTCTAATCACTTACCTGCGTCAAATTTGTAATTCCCAGCAAGAAGCATATCGAATCCAAAATATTGGATTTCCCACTGCCGTTCAGACCAGTGATGGCATTGAATAAAGGATCAAATCCTTTAACTTCCGTCCTCTGGGCGTATGATTTGAACCCATCAATTATCACTTCCTTAATCCACATTATTTAAAAAATATAACTACAATAATTAATATCAAAAATATGAAGTACTGGTCTTCTGACAAATCTAAACAACACAACAAATTGAAAATGGCGCCGAATGACGGTTTGACTGAACTGGGCATGCGCATTCAATCCCAAGATGCATTGTGAAAACAAAATGTCTGCGCCCAGGAACTCCACTCGATGCCAAATACTAGTATGTTCCCAGCTCTCGTGAATATTTGATATTTTCAAACTCAGCGCTTCAAAGAAACAGGTAAATTTATTCCGCAAATGAAGCACGTGTAAATAATAATTCGGTGTAGTGGTTAGTTTTGTTGATCATATGGATCTAACGAGATTTTGACGACTTGTTTCAGCGGTCAGTCTGAGTGATCAAACGTGTTCTTCTTTTACTCATTGCGTTGCATAGGATCTAATCCGACCCAGTTTCCATTTGACTAAACCCTGTTCTCGTCACGAGTGCAAGGCAACCGTACGTGGCGATCAGGGTTGGATATTTGGGAGTAGGGTGGGTTGTAATTATGGATCGATCAATTAAAATCGTTGGGGGGGGGGGTGTCGGCATCATGAAAAATACAAAATAAGCTTAGCATATGCAACTTTATGAAACACAGAACTTCTCCA